CAATTTCTGAACAATGAGCTTGCTAGAATTAAATCGAATAAACCTCGGATGCACCTGAGATTGTTTGTTCGAAGAATACGACATAATAAGAAGAGCCTTTATTACACGTATTACGCACCGCGTGCTAATCGTTAGTCTGAATATCGATAAATCCTTACTCAGCTCGAGGAGGCTCCACGTCCGTTCACGAAAGGCAAGTTTCTTTCTTTTAAACAATTGAGTCATTAGTACAAGAGAAGCTTCGCAACGAAATTTACTTAGTTACTTACTTATTTACACGCGTTTCCCATCACGTTAAAAATGATGAAAACGTTCTGGCGTAGATACATCGTGAATGGCAACATATTTTATACATATCGCCGTTTCAAATTCTGCGATTTGCGTTTCGTATTACCGTATAAATCGTAGTGCTTATTCTTATAGGAATAAAAATGTTAATAGTCCTCGATTAGGCTAATATAATTGCAAATATATTAGTACGTTAATATAAGAAAATTTTAATTTTCATTATAATTCGTAGTTAATGATAATTCTTACTCGACATCCGTCTCGTACATCTCAAGGATTAACAATTCAACTTGCAAACATCCGAACTTTGAAATCAAACGTTTCTAGATCTCGCGAGTAATTCGGGGTACCGAATAAGTAAACGTATTAACTGTAAACATACGTAAACCTCGTTGCAGGATTTCGAAGTCGTGCCGTTACGAAGTTCGCGACGCATTTCGAAGATATCCACGCCCAGGACGTTCCATCGTAAAAAATCATCCGGTGGACGAGGTTCGTGAACGAAAGGAAAGCGATACCCTCGCGTATCGAATACGTCCGCGACATCTTAACGACTAAATAATCCTCTAAACGTGGCCACTTAGGCTAGCCGTTCTAAATGGAATAATGAATCAAGCGATTATCAAAAATAGAATATATCGTTACGGGTACGATACACAACGCATCGGTATACCAACAATCAACAACATTGCCGACCCGCGTTTAATATTCATTGATACAACTATGAAACGATCGGCACCGAAAATATTATCTGACGTAGGAGAACGTTGCGTCCGCGTATACATACGAAAGCCCGAAAAAAAGAAAGAGACGACGATCCTCCTCAGCTCCGCTCCTCCCGCTTTTCCCCTACGCCTCTACTGTGCAGCTCTGATGTCCTGAGTCAATTCTAAAAGCTCAAGAGTCACAGTGGTAAAGGGACTATTCCGTTCAAGACGCTCGCATCAGTAGCTATAGCACACTTCGTTGCAGCGAATCTGGCACTCTTGTTTAAGTGGTCAGATTCAAAGGTGCACGCCTTGCCTACACGAATTTACGGTTCTAGTATATGATTTGCTGAAGCGCTCACGTACATTAGTCCGGTTGCGCGAAAAGCCGTTTCCAGACGCGCTATTGGATTTCTCAGAGCGACTGTCTCCGCCCCTATGACGTCACAAGTGTCAGGTTCGTTGCAATGGACGGTAACGAACATTTTTTATGTTTATCGAATCCCGAAGACGTGGAGGTTTGGCTACTATGTTTCCTGGAAGGACCGAGGTGGAGCGTGCGGCCGATTCCCCTTGCTTTTGTGTACTTTTTCCTTTTAGGAATGACTCAGGGCGTGAGAGATGCACAGTACGTGTTTAACGATGGAAATCCGCTGGTACACACGTGTGAAATCGTACGAGAGACGTTTGAAAAGTAATTTACACTCGCTCGTAACTCTCTGTGGTTCTAAAATATTTCAACATGTTCGTGGACTACTGCGTATCCAGTATTTTAGCTTTGTCTGGTGGGTCACCACTGCGTATGCAGTAGTTTAGCTTTCGTGTCGAATTATATATAGAAGTCGTGCAATTCATGGGCGTACAAATATCGAGTATGACTACTGGCAAATAGTCAACTTACGATAACACGTGATAATACTCGTCGTGTTCATGAATTGATTTAAGCAAATAGACCTTGAAATTTTCATGCCTCCAGATAAATGAAACGAAAACTTGCGAAGATGCGGTGTAAATTGAACGAAGAATTTCAACGTCCGATGCAAGAGTGGGTATCGCAGGTTGGACGGAATTTGTTCAGCAAAGGCATACAAAAACTGTTGTAATACGAACCACGTTCAAGCGAAAATTCGAAAAAGGAAAGCTTCGAATATTGAATATTTCATCTTTGTCTATACGAGTGTAATTTGCTTTTTGAACAACACTCGTACGTGTAAAATATGTTGCGACCACGTTGCGTACATATGTTGTTAGAAGAAATTCTTCCTAAATGTGAAGTTATAACTTGAATTGGTACACTTACATTGAAATCAACAAAATATACAGGGTGCGAAGTAATTGGTGGAACCATATCCGGAAAATGAGTGTTCATTTTCTATATTACGTTGAGCTGTGTTCGAGTAAATGATAGCCAATCATTGTTTGCTATTTTACATTTCGATTATAATATCATAAATATTGTTAATATTTTGACATATAATACTAGTTTGACTGGTATGTTTTTGATGTAGGAAAATTAACAAAATTGAATCTACTATTCTACTAAAATATTTGTTTTATATAAATGATAATTACGGATAAGTAAGTAGCTACTTCGTTGAAAAGTCTGCTCAATTAATTAATCTATAAAAATCAAGTTTTTCCTTTATCAACTTAACGATACTCTCACTGAATTTTGTTGTAAATATATTTTAACCTTCTGATACTGATTAGAGAGTTTAATAGTTTTAAATGTTAATCATATAATGTTCAAGTTATAGAACTTCTATCAAATTCTTTTTCCTCGAAAACTAACTTCTCTTAAAAAATATACTGATTCCTTTTGGTCTCTAATAACTTTCAGTACACCCTGTACACCGTAACTGTAAATAAGTATACACAGAAATGTATATCACTAAGTTGTATTTAATAATTTACGTGAAATTTGGTACGATTGATCAAATTTCGGATAATAATATTATTAATCAAAGACAGTACTAACTTTTATTTCATCGATAATGCACTAATCTGCTTTTTTAAATTGCCAATTTGAATGTACAATTTCATGAATCGACATATTTTCAAAAAAAGAAATTTTATTAATGAACTCAACTTTCCTTTAACCACTGTAACATTAATCCTCATAAAAGCGTTACTGCCACTCAAAGCCACTCAATCATTAGTGAATAATAAACTTTTCAAGCGAAAAAGACACAAATAAGTAAATACTCCAACGGATTTGACATAATTACTATTAAATCCCGTCATTTTCTCACCATTTCAGCATAACATGAAATTTCTCCATTTGACCAATCGTAATCATCAAATTCCGTGGAAAGTCCTAAAAATCCCAGATCAGTCTAAAGCTGTACACAGCAGTGGTCGCAACCCGATACGCGTCGAGGAGTATAAGTAAATTCTTTTTCCGTGCCTTGTTATCTTCCCTTAAAAATTGTTATGGACTAGAACGTAGTTATGATACATTAAAAATTGACACACATTTATGTTAGTATATGGATTGG